TTAAAGGTGCAAAAGGAGGGAGTCCTTTCATTAGGACTAGTGCCTTCACCGTCCCCATGTGGGTACCTGAAAGTTATCACCACCATCTGCCTTGCTCTCTTGGCTGTCTTTGATCCTAACCAAGGCATGTCTGCCTGCCTCGGCAGTTTGATGTTTTTCTGTCCCTTTGTGATAGGTACGTATGGGGGAAGGCCATAGAAGGGTAACTTCAAATTAGTGATTAATTAATGAGACATGTGCACGTGTGTATGTGATGGGATATATCAGTGATGTGAAAGTGGAACCATACATGGGTACATGGATAAGTGGGGGTGCCTTGTCTTACACACAAAGTGAGAGTCATTAGGTGACTGCCCCTTATCTACCTTGCATTCTATCAAGTAGGTGAGGGGAGCTGGGTTTTGGGGGGTTTGTTTGTCTGTTTTGTTTCGTTTTGTTTTTGAGACAGGGTCTTACTATGTAGCCCAGGCTGGTCTCGAACTCACAGCGATCCTCCTGCCTCAGCCTCCCGAGTGCTGGGATTACAGGTATGCACCACCAAGCCCTACTTAAAGAAAGATTTTTTTTTTTTTGATGAAGATGCTGGACGCATGCAAGCAGAGTGTGGGTGCTCAAAGAAATGAGGCACTCTGCAGTTGGGAACAGGGATCTTTTATGTGCTTTTGGAGGAGGTGGAAATCTATAGAATTCGATAATCTATAGTCTTAGTCTTAGTCTCAGTCCAAGTCTTAATCTTAGAGATTGGGACAGCATGGTCCAGGCCTAGCTTTTCCTGTGGGGAATGCCCAAAGGGAAGGGATGCAGTAGAAAGGGAGTTGGCCATGTTTTGTTTTCAGAAAAGGGAAAAGAGCAAATAAACCTCCCTTGCGTTCTGAAGCAGCAGTTTTTCTTTAAATTACATTTATTCCTTGTCTCCTTTCCACCTAACTTTATTTCTTCTATCCGACCTGAACCACCCCCTTCGGTGCCTTATTCTTAAGGGGTTGCAGAAGGCCAGTGGTCCATCTTCAATAAATGCTTCGGGCGGAGGAGCGGGCGTTGATCCTGTCTGGCCGGGGTTAAAAGTTTGTCCTGACTCATCTAAAGGAGACATAGGAGTGTGCAGTTCCACCTTTTGAAGAACCATCATCTTTTAATAGTCTGAGAAAGAAGGCAAGGACATGTGAGACATTAGCCCACAACAACATGGAATCATGGGACAAAGAATTCCAATGCCCAATATTACAGCCAGAAAAATAAAGGCTTTTTCCCAGCTGGTTGTTCCAGGAAACCAGGATATGAGCCAGTATGAGAGCCCCGGGTAGGACTCCAGGGAGCCTGGTTTTCCTGGTATAAGGTGCCCGTTAGCTCTTCTAGATAAGTCCTTATGACAGTTGTGTTACCTGGTGCCCCTCCCAGTCTAGTTTCTGTCTCCCTCCTTGGTCTTTCTAATCGCTCTAACCATAATCTATCAGTAGAGGCAAAAACTGCCTTTAGTAAATGAATAGGACGCACGAGTAAATAATAAACAGTTTCTCTGGTGCTGAAAAACTAAAAATGTAAATAAGGCTCAAATAGTACAATTCATAGAGTGAAATAGGAAGAAAATGGCTAAAGAGGAAATGGGAAGGGGAGGGGAAAGGAAATAAGGGAAAAGAAAAAATGTGAAGAAGGGAAAAATGGAAACACAGTCTGTAAATAGGGAAGGGTGAAGGGGGTGAAGGGAGGGCAGGGGTATGGGGAAAAGATAAGAACCAAGATCTGTCATGTAAAGGTACAGATCCCAATGATAAATGTAACTATTGTTTGCTTTAAATGTACCAATAGCCGGGCATGGTGGCGCACGCCTGTTTCCCAGCACTTGGGAGGCTGAGGCAGGAGGATTGCTGTGAGTTCGAGACCAGCCTGGGCTACATAGAGAGTTCCAGGTCAGTCTCAACTATGTAGTGAGACCCTGTCTCAAAAAAACAATAAATACGTAAACACACCAATAAACTTAATGGGAAAAGCATTTTCTTAAACTGCCTTTAGTAAGGTTTGTTATTAATTTCTTTGATAAAGCTTAATGAGATCTTACTTTTTTTTTTTCCCATGACCCCATCCGTACAAACTCAGGGTGCTGAAAATGCTAGGCAAGCAGTCTACCACTCTACCCCAGCCCTCAGGTAAAAAATATTTTTAAAAAGTGTTTTTCATGGGTTTGTTCCCTGAGATAAATCCAAAACAGATCAGTGTCAGAAAAAGGAGGAAAGGGGCCAGGGATTTAGCTGCAAACACAAAAGGGCCAGGGATTTAGCTCAGTGGTGCCATGCCTGCATTGCAAGGTCCTGAGTTTGATCCCTGGCCCAGGAGTGGGATCGGGAGAGGCAGAGGAGGGGAGGAGAAGGAAAAAAGAAAGGAAATGTTAGATTTTGAACTGCCAAACACACTAGGGCTGTGCTTAGTCCAGACAGGAATGGTTACGTACTGGGGGATCAAACTTGGGTCCTTGCACTTGCAAGGAAGGCGCTGGAACCACTGAGCTAAATCCCGGGACCCAGGAACAGTCCCTCTTTAAATGCTATGTGTATCTAAAATTTTCCCATTCCCACTTTAATATCTTAGGAACACTATGGGAAAGAAGATAGTATATTACAGTTGGGATTGAGAGAAGACAGTGGATACAATTCATTCAGCAATATTAAATATCTACCAAGTGCTAGACGCTATGCTCAGCAAGTACAGTAAGGCGCTCACGCGTGTGCAGACGTGTACACACACACACACACACACACACACACACATGCACTGTAATTACCCTAAAAGCTGTCTATCTGTGAACTACAAATCCAGGGAAAATCTCTTCTTGCTCATATAATTTATGCTTGTAATGGTTAAACCTTTCTGAGCAAAGCCTCATGAGACCCTGAAAGACTAAAACTTATGGCTGTGACCCTCCCAGGCTTTCACGTGGTTTGCTAAACTCACACAGCCGGATCTGTGGCTGCTGAATCACGGCTGCTGAATCATGCCCCTGCTCTGCTCCCCTGTATCTTATTTCAGGGCTAACTACAAATATTTCCCTGCACCTTAGGAGAATTTTAACAGTAAACATCTCTCAACCCACACTGAACTCTGGCCAACCTTTCCCGATTAGTCTTATAAAGTCTTTATTTAATCTCATATTCACCCTTCCATCGATGACCTTGTTGAAAGGAAAACTCTTTTCAGTTGAATCAGTTTCTGAATAGGAAAAAGTGACCTGCTCAAGTGGAGACTAATTCGCACTGTAAATTTGTTTAAGGAAAATAAGATGAGAAAGAAATATAACTGTTTTGTTGAGCATTTTGAAAATCTTATCACAACTGTTACTGTTTTTGTTTTTTGTCTGTTTTGTTTTTTTTTTGTGGGGGGTGTTTTGTTTTGGAGACAGGGTCTCACTATGTAGTTGAGACTGACCTGGAAATCACTATGTAGCCCATGCTGGTCTGGAACTCACAGCGATCCGCCTGCCTCAGCTTCCCAAGTGCTGGGATTACAGGCATGCGCCACCACACCCGGCTAACTGTTAGTTTTATATTTAGATATTTGATAATTTTGGCCTTATCTCCTTTCACTCTTTTTTTTTTTTTCCGGTACCGGGATCTTGCGCGTGCGAGGCAGGCGGATGTACCACTGAGCCGAATTCCCAGCCCATTCCATGCCACTCTTTTAAATGTTCTATACCCTTTGAAACCAGCTCACCTAGTACTATTTTCCCTGTAAAGCCTTTTTCTAATCTCTCTATTCCAAATTGACCTTTCCCTACATGAGGAATTGAATGTGTCCACAAATACGTTGAAGTCTCCTCACGCGGGATATTGAGAAGGGAGGAGAGCCCCCTTCTGGGCTCCTGGAGCTAGGTGGGCTTTGTGACTCCTCTGCCTGTGAATGCTGCTGAAGTAACACCGGCTGAGCTTCTGGATCCAAACCACAAGAACGTCCACTTCTTTCTCTTGGCTGGCTCCACCTTAGAGGACAGCTGCCCAGTGAAAAGTACTATTACCCTGAAATTGCCAAACTGTGAAAAGCCCAAGGTACACGGAGAGCCTCGTCAAAATAACATCAGGTCAAGTAAGAAAAGAAATATATTAGAGTCTATTGTGCATAGAAAAGAACAGTTTATGAACTGGGAGACTCTAGGGCCAGGAATTTAGCTCCATGATTCTGCCACCTGCCTCACAAGCTCAAGATCCCCAGTTCAATCCCAGGTACAGAAAAAAAGAAATGGGGAGACTCCAAAAACCCACAGTGGTAAGTTCCGCTCTCAAGAGTTACAGGGCAGTTCATAAAGCGTAAATGAGGAAATACATTGGTCTCTATCGTGACTGACCGTTGAACTCATACACTATTCCCGCCAGGGTAAGTGTGTTACTTGCCACTTGGGTTCGCTCATAAGCTCAGGTTCCTCTGCTTGCTAGCGCTGAGGAGAGCTGGGGTGCCCTTTTTGCCTCCGATGATCAGCCTTTCTGCTCCTTCCTAGAACGGAACAGAGGCGAAAGCGGCACAGAGACTATGCAGATCTCCACAGGGGCTTTCTCACTTTTGGCTGTTTTGTGCTCCTCTGTCCTCTTTCTTGCTTGAAGGAAACTGGGCTTCGGGCCTTCATTATCAGCACCTGCAAATTCTGTCGCTTTTTTTTTTTTTTTGGTCTGAGGAGAGGAGGGGATGTTCCTTATTTGCTCAACAGGAGGAAGTTTGGAGAGGTTGCTTATCTCTGAAAGAAAAAAAATAACTTCTGAAGTTCCATTAGAAGTAGAGCTGCATGTTACTCTGTGGCTGTTTGTGTTCAGCTTTGTCTTACTAACAAGAAAGGAAAGCTTCTACCTTGTTTACAAGCTTGCATTTCAGGAAAACCAGGATAACTTCTTTCTGTTAGAAGAGTAGGGGCTGCCTTACCCTAGAGTGCATTACTCTGAGTGGTTTCCATCTTGATTACATTTTCACACCACTCCCACCCCCAGCACTTTTTGGATCTTTTTCTCCCTTCAGCCGAGAGTGTGACTAGATCTTGAGCATTACTCTTATTAGCACATGTTGTTTCTCTTTTTCTGATCATGTGCAGACCTCTTCCAAACAGTCAAATTCATACCATTTTTGTTGTTCAGTCCCCGTGGAGAACATTTCCTGAGCCAGGGACCAGTTGACAAGCACTTAAAACACTTATGAGAACACTGTGCAAAGGGATGTTATCAGTATGACCAGCAGGATAATAATACCAAGAGTGAAAAATATCCCAAACCAAGAGTTAACCAACTAAACAGATCTACTGATTGTGCCTTCTCTATCAGGTGGGACATCGGGATCTGATCTTTCCAAACTCTAAGATTTAAAGCTAGGTATCTGCTTTTGAATAAAGACCTCTAGCTTGTTTCTTTGAGGGACAATGTAAAGAGTTTAGAATGCGGAAAAGGTGTGGTAGCACTTGTCTATAATCCCAGTTTAGCATTTGAGGCTGAGGCCAGCCTAGGCTACATAATGAGTTCAAAGACATTCTAAACTACATAGGGAGACACTGTCTCAAAACATAAAAGCTGGGAGGTTCTCTCACAGGATTTTGCCATACTGATTTAAATTCAGAAGGAACTGCCTGCGGTTTGTTTACCAAACAGGAAGTTACTAAGACCTAGTTTTAGTTTGTTCACAGGCTGTGGAGGGCATAAAGAAAAACTGAGGATCAAGTACCTGCAATATTCTATAAGCCCAAGAAATGCTCTGAGTTGCATTTTAGTGCTAAATCTAAGATAAGTTTGGATAGTGTTATCACACGGTGGATCTGACATTTGATTCCAGGCTCTTGTGTGTGATGAGAAATGAACAGCAAAAAAGAAAAAAAAAAAATAGCTAGCTGGAGATTTAGCTCAGTGGTTCCACCACCTGCCTCGCAAGTAAAGCTTCTGAGTTTGATCCCTGGTACCAAAAAAAAAAGTAAAAATAAAAATAAAGAAAAGAAAAGAAAAATAGCTACATTTATTGAAGATCATGAGAAGATGTGCTTGGGGCAGGTCAGTGCCAGCAGAAACTAAAAGGTTGGCACAAACAGAACAGTGGTTGGTGTCTGGGACAATAGGAAAATAAAAAGCACACACAGCGTACAGCTATACCAGGATTTCAGATGTTTAAAGGAGA